CCCCCGCCGCTGGGCCTGGCCCGCCACCGCCCGGAGCCCCAGCCATGTGACCCGCAGGCCTGGGCGCCTCCTCCTGCTCGTTCCCTTTAGCCAGCCCGGGACACCGCTTCCGCCACGGAGCGAGCCCTCAACCCTCCGGCACCGGAGAGTCGCGGCTAGCAGCTCGGGGCGGGGCTTCGGTGGGCGTGGTTTGGTGGGCGTGGCCCGGTGAGCGGGTGGAGGGAGCTCCTGGCCGTCAAGTCCATTGCTGCTTTCCCTTGACGTGTTTGGCCTGCCTTCTCAGCCTCCTGCTGCCTTCTGGACTACTAAGGTGGCCACCCCGTCCTGCACATAACCCTCCTCCCGCCAATGAAGGCCGCTAAGGTCCTTTCTGCTGCGCTCGCTCTCTCTGCCATCTTCCCTGCCCTGACTTCTGCTGTTTCTCTCATTCCCACCTCCTGCTCAGACCAGTTTAAGTCTGTATTTTCAGAAACGCTTGGAAACAATAAAGACTGCTTGGTCACATCAAAATCTAGCTCATCGGGACCCATCCTTCAACTCCACTCTCTTGCCAGCACAAATAACTGATAAGATAAATAGTTTAATTCTACCTCCAGACCTCAATTGACACTGTGGTGTCAGTCTCGGAGGCTTTTTCCTCAGTATCCATAATCAGGGCCAAGGTCAAGCCTATCTGCTCCCCAGGGAATTGCCAGCACCATTACTCAAAATTAATGTTGTCTGTTCTGCAGTTCAAAGCGTTTGTACAAGTTAGTGCATTGATGACAGACTTCCGTGTTTAATGTGCACATGTGTGTGTGCGCGTGTGCTCGCACGTATGTGTGTGTTTGTGTGCCTGTGTGTGTGTGTGCCCGTGCGCGCGCGCCCGTATGTGTGGGCGTGTGTGGGCGTGTGCACGCGCATGTGTGTTTGTGTGCCTATGTGTGTGTCTGTATGAGTGCGCATGTGTGTGAGTGTGGGTGTGTGCGTGTGTGTGCGGGCACGCACGTGTGTTTGTGTGCCTGTGTGTGTGCGCCTGTGTGCATGTGCCTGTGCGTGTGCGTGTGTGTGTGCACCTGTGTGCATGTGCCTGTGTGGGTGTGCGTGTGCCTATGTTTCTTTCCCCACTAAATTATTCAGCTCAGCTCACACATTTATTCAGCACCTGCTACCATGAGCCAGACAGGACAGTAGGGTCTGAGAAAACAAAGACAAATAAGAAAATCACTGAAGTTGAACCACAGCATATGTTTTATGTAGGAAAAATATCTAAGAAAAATCGGCGTACAAGGCCTCAGGAATTATGAACAGCACTTAGATGTCACAGGTGTTTAGAATACATGAGCTGAGGGGAAGCAGAGGGCATTCACTCATTTGCGATATTATACAGCTATGAACACATGTACTTACAGACTAATAAAGCTATAAGCCAAAAATTAGATTGTTTTTATTGAGCTCCATTTATGTGCATTATTGCCGATCCTCATTACAACCTTGCAAAATATTACCAACCCTAATTTGCAGATAGAGGTGAACTCGGCAAAGCTAAATAATTGATCCAGCTACAGAAGAAAGCTGAAAATGTAACTTAGTTGAGAGACGGCTTACTTGATCTGTGGGAGTCCTGGGTTCTGTCCCCTGCACCACATAAGCAGACGTGGTGGCAAAATGTGGCTGTAATATCAGGAGGTAGAGACAAGAGGATCAGGAGTTCAATGTCATCCTCGGCTACCCGGCAAGGTGAAAGTCAGCCTGGGATACATGAGACCACATTTTAAGAAACAAGCAAGTTAGAATAAGGCTGGAGAAATGGCTCAGCAATTGAAAGCAACTGCTCTTGCAGAGGTAATGGGTTTGGTTCCCAGCACCTACACAGTAGCTTATGTCCATGACTCCAGTTCCAGGGGACCCAATACCCTCATCTGACCTCTCTGGGAACAAGGCACACATGTGATACACATAGATGCATGGAGATAAAACACTCATACACATAAAGCATAAATCTAAAAAGAATTTAGTTAGAAAAGGGAAGCAGACACCTGTGGAGACTAAGCCATTAAAATTGAGCTCGGTTAGTTTAGAATGCTAGCAGAAAGCTAACAGACATGGCAAGGTCTGGGGCAGACCACGCACTGTGTCCTGGTTTGCTTCTTTAGTGTTGTAATCAAACACTGACAAAGAAACAACTTGGAAAGAAAAGGGCTTACTCTCCCCTCAGGTTATAGGAAGTGAGGCGGGAACTGGAGGAAGGAATGGAAGCAGAGACCGTGAAGAGCCCTGCTTCCTGGCTCCCCGTAGCCTTCAGTCTGTCCAGCCGTCTTTCTTTGCTGTCATTTTGTTTTGTCCTGTTCTGTTTTGAGACACAGTCTCACTGTGTCAACCAGGCTGGCCAAGAATTGGTTGACCAGGCTGGTCTCTAACTCATAGAGATAAACCTGCCTTGGCCTCTCCCACCCCAGGTCTGGGATTAAAGGTGTGTGATGTGGGAGTCCCCTCTGTGTGTTGCTTATATTGGTTAATGAATAAAGAACTGCCTTGACCTGATAGCACAGAACTTAGGTAGGCGGAGAAGACAGAACTGAATTCTGGGAGAAAGAAGAAAGAGTCAGAGAGAAGCCATGGATCTGCCACCAGAGTAAGGCATGCTGCCAAAACTTAGCCAGTAAGCCACTGCCATGTGGCAATACACAGACTAATAGAAATGGGTTAACTAAGATGTAAGAGTTAGCCAATAAGAAGTTAGAGCTAATGGGCCAAGCAGTGTTTTAATTAATACAGTTTCTGTGTGGTTATTTCGGGGCTAAGCTAGCCGGGCTGCCAGGATGAACAAGCAATTCCTCCTTACAGCAGGTGTGTGTCACCAGACCCAGGCCTCAGCCTTTTTTCTTATATAACCCAGGACCACCTGGCCAGGGTGTAACCACCCATGGCGGACTGGCCCCTCTCACATCAATCACTGATCACAGACTTGTCTGCAGGTCAATCTGATGGAGCCATTTCCTCAACTGAGTTCTTTCTTCTCAGATAAATTGAGTTGTGTCAGGTTGACAACAAAACTAGCCAGCATACCTAAAAAAAAAAGGTCTGAAACACTACTTGAAATATTACTCAGCTACATGAGTAATCAATGCAACATTATTCCAGAAAACATCTCTCAATGCTCACTTCTGAAAGAAGAGAAAATTAAAATTATACCAGAATATCAGTCTCATCTAAGTATTAGACTCTTTGATTTACATTCTCCTGAATTTCCTCCTTATGAATGAGTGGGGGTATGCATGTGTGTGTGTGTGTGTGTGTGTGTGTGTGTGTGTATGTGTGTGTATGTGTGTACACGTGTTAGTTTGAGTGCATATGTGGAGGTCCAAGGACAACCACGGGTGTCCACACTACCGCACCCAGCTTTAGATGGGCTCTGGGGATTCAAACTGAGGTCCTCCTTCGTGTGCCACAGTTCTTTACCCACTGAGCCACATCCCCAGCCCCCTAGCTTCCTTAAGGTCCTACAATAAGCATGCACATTATCCTAATAATCACGAAGACTAACTTTCAGAGGTTGAGCAGGCTTTCAGTGCCACGTGTACAACTTCACATACAATGCCCTGCAGGGGAGAAGGGAAAAGCCATCCGTGAGACCTGGGGACACATAGACAAGTTCTAAAGTGAAAATACCACGAAGAGCAAGAGAGCCGGTTATGCCGTCAGACGGCACTCGCGGTTCTCTGTGAGTGTAGACATCTTGCCTGTTTACTTTTTAAGACAGGGTTTCTCTGTGTAGCTTTGGCTGTCCCGGAACTCACTCTCTAGACCAGGCTGGCTTTGAACTCACAGAGATCCCCCTGCCTCTGCCTCTCTGAGTTCTGGGATCAAAGGTGTGTTCCACCATTGCCCAGTGAGTATATACCTTTAATCCCAGAATTCAGGAAGCAGGGCCAGGCTATGTAACGAGAGCTTGTCTCAGAAGGAAGGAAGAAAGGAAGGAAGAGAGGGAGGGAGGGAGGGAGGGAGGGAGGGAGGGAGGGAGGAAGAGAGGGAAGGAAGAAAGGAGGAAGGGAGAGAATGGGTCCTTTTTCTCTTCTCTAAAGCTTTTCATTTCTACATTGCAGCACTAATTAAGGGTGTAGAGGACAGGAATGGATTAAATGTCTAGGATGAGGTATAAAGTCACATGCACAACTATGTAGTCTTAATTAAACATATTCTTTTTACATTATAAAATAGCACAGTTTATTCTGTTTTGAACTTTTATTTACTAACTGCTTAAGAAGAAGACCCCCTTCAAAGTGACAAACCAGTGATTGTGCAGACAGGACCTGGGGTGGGGGTGTTTTATTCTATGCTTGTTTCATTTTCTAAAGAAAAATAAATAATTTTTTTGGAAAATGAATCAGAGTTGTTAAATCTATCTTAGTAACGAAAGATGCCACATATAACTTTTTTCTTCTTATTCATTGGAGTTTGAGGTAGTCGGAACTACCTCATTGGAACTTGAGTTACAGACAGTGTGAGCTGCCATGTGGGTGTCGGGAATCGAACCCTCTGGAAGAGCAGCCAGTGTTCTTAACCACTGGCTCCAGCCTTGCGTTTATAACTTTTTATGATTTATTTCCGTTTTAT